TTCTTTCTCTGAGTCTGTCTCTCTCTCTAGGCCTCTGTCCCTCTCTCACTCTGGATTCTGTCTCTCTCTTTCTCCGAGTCCCTGTCCCCATCTCTCTGGGTCTCTGTCTGCTTCTTTCTATGGGTCTGTCCACTTTTCCCTCTGGGTCTGTGTCCTTATCTCTCTGAGCCTCTGTTCCCATCTCCCTGGGTGTCTGTCCTCATATCTCTGGGTCTCTTCCTCTCTCTCTCTCTCTCTCTCTCGGTCTTTATTTCTCCCACTCTGAGTCTCTGTCCCCCTTTTTCTCTAGGTTCCTGTCCCCATCTCTCTGGGTCTCTGTCCCCATCCCTGAGTCACTGCCCTGATCCTTGTCCACACCCCCACTCCTCACCTGTCTCTCCCCTGCAGACAGCGAACTCTCCCTCCTGTACCACCTCACGGCCGTGTCAACCCCTGACGAGAGGACTCCTGCCTTCTGGGTCACGGGCTGGCTGGGCCCACAGCAGTACCTGAGTTATAACAGCCTGCGGGCCGAGGCTGACCCATGTGGGGCGTGGGTCTGGGAAGACCAGGTGTCCTGGTACTGGGAGAAGGAGACAGTTGACCTGAGGCACAAGGAGAAGCTCTTCCGTGATGCTCTCCAAATCCTGGGAACAACCGGTGAGTCCTGGACTCCTGGCCTGGGGCAGGGGTATCTGGGGACCCGACTCCTGGGTCTGGGGGCATGGGGCTGGATTCCCGGGTGGAGAGGTAAGGATGTCTGGGTTCCACTTATCCACATGTGGTCACCTAGCTCCCCAGGTCATGCAGGCTCTGCTGGGCTGTAAGTTGGGCCCAAACAATGTCTCGATACCCACGGCCAAGTACGCCCTGAATGGTGAGGACTTCATGACCTTTGACCCCAAGCTGGGCAACTGGAGTGGAGAGTGGCCTGAGGTAGACGACATTAACAAGCTGTGGACAAAAAACGAAGAGGACGTCAGTAACGAGAAGACCTTCTTGCTCAGTTCCTGTCCTGAACGGCTGTTGGGCCACCTGGAGAGGGGCCGAGGGAACCTCGAGTGGAAGGGTGAGCAGCCCCTGAGTCCTTCTAGGTTCTGTTTTCTCTCCTGTCCACGGCTTTGTCCCAGGCATCACGTCCTCCCAGATTCTTTCCCTCCACAGCCCTGCTAGAGCCCCTAGCCCTTAGCCTGCACTGCCTTCTCAGAACCCCCAACTTCCCCTTGCACAGCCCTCCCAGAACCCCCAGCCCCTCCGAGCACAGCCCTCCCAGAACCCCCAGCCCCTCCGAGCACAGCCCTCCCAGAGCCCCCAGCCCCTCCGAGCACAGCCCTCCCAGAACCCCCAG